TTACAGAATAAAGTTAATAAATAATTTTTTAAAAACTACAAAGGACCTAGTTAAAAAATAAATAAAACTATAAGGACTTGATAAGGGAAAAAATGGAGGGGCCTAATAAAAAACAAGTGAAAGTAAAAAGATCTGATAAAAAGAAAAAGTTTTATAGGGACCTGATTAAAAATCAAATAAAATTATAAGGACCCAGAGATTAATTATCCCTTGAAATTATCCTTTTATGAAAACTCCTTAATATGTGCAATCATCATAGAAATTATTTGGGAGCAAAATGGATAAATATAAAAGATAAAATAAATTGGAAGCTTATACTTATAATTAATTAAATCTCAAACTAGTTCACTGTACAAATCCTATATATCTAGACTCCGATAGTTAGAGGACACTTAAATGAAGAACACATAAGCTAAATACATAAGTGGTATCAAACAATTCATGCTACTTTGACGCAAAGAATAATTCCTTTTTTCTTTTTGGCCGGGGCAAAGAATAATTCTTACATATATATATAGTTAATTCATAAAATCTAATAAACTGAACCCTAATCACGGTACTCAACCCATACTGCACGCTGGTTTGTTAGTTCAAACTTCAAACCAATCAGGGGATTATATATCAATCAGATCCTCAATTAAGGGAAAAACCAGACATTATAGGAAGAGTAAATTAGTACTACTATAGTATAAAAGCAGTCCCCTAACTAAACCCACCACAAGGCAGTTTTTGTAAGCACGAGTATTTTTCTGGAAAAAAAATGTTTTGTGTAAAAATGTTTTATAATTAAGAACGGAGGTAGTATCTTAGAGCTTATTTGGAACAGTGATTGAAACTTTTAAAAATAAATTTTCAATCATAATTTATAAAATATGAAATATGTATATGAGATAAGTTTTGTCTCTACTAATATATAAATAATCGAAATTTTTTTAAAATAAAAAACAGACTCGTGTTACTGCGCGTGACGACAAGAAAATTTGATGGATAGATCAGACTGACTTGAATCCAATAATAAATTTTATTAATTCATTTATATTATTATGTATTTTATGTTTACATTTTGTAGAAAAAATTTTACCCACCAAAAAATTGAAATTTTGTAAACTAAATATGACTGGACGCTGAAAAGTAACAATAAAATGTAAGTTTAATTATTTATTTGAGCTAGACTCATTGCCAGTCGAAGTCAAAGTTTATTTTGGTTTAAAGAAGGGGGGAAATTACAAATACGCATGAAATACAAAAGTTAATAATAAGTCTCCTCACTTTAAATTATTACCAAAAGGTTCCAAGAAAATGTGATGCAGTTTGTAAAAAGATATATTTGAGCCCTTTTGACTAATGTCGATCCTCCCCATTTCACCCGTTTGATTGTCCGTATCGACGTTAATATCAATAATATGTTATTAAATTAAAAGTTAATATAAACTTTTGTCTCTAAAGTTTGTTTTCATTATTACTTTTAGTTTTTCAAGTTTCAAATTATAAGTTTTGATCACTCCCGTTTTTTTTTTAATTTATAATATTGATTTTTATAATCCAATAAAAAATTTAGATTATTTTGCCTATTGAGAAACTAAAATCTATAATTTGAAATAAAATAAGAGCAAACTTAAAAGACCAAAGATTATATTAACCTTTAAATTAATATTAACACTTTTAATATTATTTTGTTAAAATAGTAATATTTTAATATTTAAAATGCTGCTCATATTCATAAGTACGTTCTTGTCCAATGTTCAAAGATCCAGATTATAAATATGCAATTATCGAATTATGAAAAGAGACTTATATGAATATGAATAACATTTGAAATACTAAAATATTAATACTTTAACATTTTAACTATGTGATTAATTATTACAAAAATATTAATTAATACCAAAACGAGACTCGTGCGTGTGATTTTCCATGTATAAAGTGGACAAGCACTGGATCTTGTGGATGGTAGAGGAACCAATTTCCACAACGAAAATGATGATCACATAACTTATAATTATCCTCTTCATGTTCTAATAAAATCGTTGAACAATTATTTAACTCATTCTCAATGCTATTGAATAATTACATCTTTTTTAATGAGTCACCAAACAATGATTCATCCATTCATTTTCCATTTGATTGCAAAGCCAATTTTCCACAAATTCCCTAGCAGTAAAAGCTGCTATTTTTTCAGAGTTCACGTGTATCCAGGCATTCAACTTTTTCTTGGTTATCAAAAGAATTCTTGAAGAAGATGAATGGCCAATTCAAACAAGACATATAAAGCAGCAATAATTGAATATTTGTCTCCATGAAACCATCATAAGTTCTTGAAGTCTGTATATCCACAAAATTATTATACTCTAGTCTTGTTTAGTTTTTGAAATCACTCGTAATCATATTTCATGTAAGTATTTAAACTAATATAAAACTCTTTTCATATATTTATTCTGTATTTTATAAATTATGATTAAAAAACTGTTTATATGTCATTCTAAATGGGTTTTTCATTTCCATAAGGCTTTGATGAATATTGTTGTTAATTCAATAGCAGTTTTTTCTTACAAAAGATTTCCATTTTCTATTCAAAATAATTAAAATTTTCAGCTACTTGTTAAAGATATCAAAGATAGTTAGAAAGTAAAGAATATTAACAAAAAGTTAACAAAAATAATAAATTTATATGAAAGGAATCACAAAGAATACAATTATTTAAGAAGGGAAAAAGACATTTATATAATGGGTCCCAATGCAAAATCCGCGAGTGGCTAGTGCCGGTGGGGTTCCTTCCATGTGATATGAATGCAGCCATGCAATTCCAGACAGGCCCAAAAACACCACATATAGTTAATTTTTCTATACTCCGATTTTCTATATAAGATTTTTTTCAATTATCTAAATTATATATTTTTTATTTCTTTCTTATTAATTATTTATTAGTCTTATATATTGATTGTTTATACTCCGATTTTATATATAAGGGATTTTTGAAAAGTAAACTGCACTTGTATAAATTTAATCAATTTTTTTGCTAAATGTGGTTACCTCTCTTAGCAAAAATTTAAATATTGTATCACTATATGGTGAGGAACTAATTTTTTATTTAATCAATTTTTTAATTTATATAACTCGATTATTTGTATGTTTTGTTGAAGAAGGTGGTGGGCCTAACCGCTCACGTGGCCTTCAATTTGAAAGGGCAAGAGACTTTGGTGTCTTGGTTGGTTAGCAATTGGCGTCTCTTTCTTCTTACCAGTTACCACAAAGATAGTTTGTTTGACTTTTTTCAAATCCACTCTTTCCAATCCAAGCACAACACAAAACTCTCTCTCTCTCTCTCTCTCTCTCTCTCTCTCTCTCTCTTCCGTTTTCCACACTCCACCGCCGAGGTTGATTAGGTTAATTCTTTTTTCCCTTCAAAAAAGGATTTGATTATTAATGTATAAAATAAGCAAATAATAATGTTTTTATAACAATATATTACCTCTGGTCCTTAATATAAGAATTAGTTGGTTAATTTAAGTCAATTAAAAAGTTTATTAAGTTAGTTATTTATAATAATTAAGTATTGTCTTCCTTAGAATACTTTTGCTAATCATATATATTAGCTAGAGCTCCCATTTGATAAAAATTTTAACATGTGCAACTAGTACAAATACTACTTTAAAAAAAAAAAGATAAATATGAGAGATAAAATAGATTAGATCTTATATTTATGACTAAATTGAATATTAAATTAACTCTTATATTAAAAATTGAAGGTAGTATTAAATATTTGGGTATAATGAATTCAAAATTTTGAGCTCAAGTTTATTAGACTTTACATTTAGAAAGTTTAAACTTTAGATGCGGGTCAAGACTTAGGTCAGTTTAATTTAAAATTTGAAATATTAAGAGGAAGGGATGCAAAATCTTAAAACTTAATCCGCTAGTCCTGGAGAAGAAATTTTTGGTCATAGAGAAAAACATTTCATTTGAATGTACAATTACACTTTTCATTTATTATTGTATTGATTTTATTCTCAAGAGGTATAATGTTTATTAAATAAAAATAAAATTAGTAATTTTAAAGAAGAGTTAGTAAAAGTTAAAATTTGTTAGGTCTGTAGAAAACATATTAGAATTAACTTATACATAAATAAGATCAAAGCATTATATCTTAATTTGTAATTTTCCACAGGTGAAGGTGGCATATGCTCTCCTCGCGTGGCTCCACCACTAGGAATATTTGCTCTGCTTGAATTCAAATTGCTTTTCTAAATAAAATGTTAAAATAATAGCGCTAGTGGTTTCCTATGTAACAGCATTAACAATATCCTTTTGACTTTCAGGGCAGTAAATCACTAATTTTTAAGATTAGTTTCCAAAACATTATCATTTAATAATTTATTATGATCAGCTAAAAAAGTTTAACATATTCAGAAAAAAATTAGAGAATCAAACGGCAACCTATGTTGATGAGAGTTATAATTGCTTTCGTTAGCTAAACAAGTGGTTGGACATTCGAATTCTAATTCCTATATACATAATAACATAGTTAAGAGGTTTATGTTTTACCCTTACTACCCAGGGAACTTAGATTATACTGTCACCGGAGTACACTACTGATATGAATATTCATTTCATCGGTCCTATTAAGTTTATCCAGTTCATGCGTGCATGCAAAAACCCCATCTTTAACAACAATGAGTTAGCTCGAACCTCTTTGCATCAGTGGAGTTATTAAGGATTGTGTTACAGGTTTGTAGTCCAGTCCAAGAGACTTGATTCTTGCTTTTAAGTATACTTCTTGGCTAATAATATGGTAAAATTGTACCACTTTGGAGCTCTAAAAATCATTCTAAAGTCAAAGCAACATCTTGCAACAAGTCAAAGATGTAAGAGGGCTGCTAAAGGGAGACATTCTCACTAAACTAATACAAAAAGACGTACATCTTAGTAGATTTTTCTACACGGAGTATATATGTTGTGCTCTAGACTTTAGAATTAGATTGTTCAGAAGATTGATCTACCACCTATGAAGAAGAAGCATCTGAATCTTCATTGGTTCCCTGCAGAGTCAGATATGGTTTAGAGGACACCAAATTCTGAAAGGGAAATGGTGGGGGAGGGATTTCTATATCACCCTCCAGCATCTTCACCACATTACTCATAAGAGGTCTATCAGTAGGCAAATATTGAACACACCAAAGGGCCGCCATTAACATTCTCTGAGCTTTTTCCGTGTCTTTCTCTTCTTCAATCCCACACAGTGAAAGCATCACTGGTAATTCATTGTTCTCAAACATATCCCATGTCCATTTCGGAAGCCATTGCTGTGATTCACTGCAGCCACTATCAAAATGCCTTCTCCTCCCCACAATTTCGAAGAGAACAATACCAAAGCTATAAACATCACACTTATGATTCACAGGACAAAGCTTCCACAATTCTGGTGCAGCATACCCTCTTGTTCCTCTGAAGTCTGACATATTCACATGGCTTCTTTCTCCGGTGCAAAGTTTTGCAAGACCAAAATCTGCCACTTTTGGTTCAAATTTCAGGCCAAGAAGTATATTCTCTGGTTTAATATCATAATGAATGATTCTATGTTGACACTCTTCATGTAAGTAAGCAATCCCTTTCGCTATTCCTATTGCAATCTCAAGAAGCTTCCCCAACTCAACTTTTTTGTTGAGATTACTAAATAATAAATTGTTGAGAGAACCATTTGGTACATACTCATATACAAGAGCTCTCCTGTTATGTGTGAAGCAGAAGCCATATAGCCTGACTAGATTAATGTGATAAGTTCTTCCAATAGTGCTAACTTCTGCCTTAAATTGCTCCTCTGTCCCAAGATCCAAGCTGTTCAGAACTTTTACTGCAACTTTCTCTTCACTTGACAATTCACCTTTGTAAACCAGCCCATAAGCTCCAAACCCCAAAATAGTGGTGTAGTTCTTTGTGATTCTTTCAAGTTCCTCAGGTGAGAACCTGATGGGTTTTTCTTTGTTGATGCAGTTGAGGAACCTTTCCATAGTTGCAAACTTTACTTCCGAATTTGGAGGTATTGCTAATGCCATTTCTCTATTGTCTGAAGTATCTGAGATTAAGGCTTTATTGTCCTTATCTACCGTTGGAATCTGGGTATAAGCTGACATCATTGTTCCTACTTTCTTCAAGCACTGAAGAATTGAGTATGCTATTGTTATAATAGCAATTATCATCACCGTCCCTACAACTGAAAATCAGAACGGAACAGGATATCAGTAAATTTTCTTGTTCACCAAGAAAGACAGATCACAACAAAGCAACTTAAGTTCTGAAAGCTAAGATCATTTTTTGTTATTATCTCTAACACTGCTGAGGATTTGAACTCCTTGAAGCAATAAACTTATGCCTCAGAACGTAGGAAAAGAGCTGAAGCACAAAAAACTGGGAATTCTAGGGAAGAAAACACAAAAAGTAACCATATACGAATGAAGACTATTAAGAGCTTCATACCAAGACACTCAGTTAGAGCCCATTTCATATTGGAATTCATTTGGCCACCGTGCATCATTTTGGCATGTGTATTGTATGATTTGGAAGAAGACATTTGAGACAAAAGAAAGATAATCTTCTGTGCTCAAAGCTTGAACTGATGGGAGATTGAAGAAATAATGGTGGAGAGAAGAGCAAGTAAATGGCAATAGAGGTGTGTGAACTATGACGTGTAATAAAGGCAAGAGAGATGGAACAGTTTATAACGATTAATTATGTATGAGAAAAGTAGTGACACTTGGCTTCTGTTGATTTTGATACTCATGTGCCCCATGACGCGTTCGGGTGAAATTTTGAAGAAACTTCTTATGTTATTTCCCGCACTTGTAGTGTGTGTGTGTATCTAAAAACTATTAATTTTAAACTACATGAAAATGCAGGATGTACTCTGATGTAAACCTTATGATGTCATTTTTTATTTATTTATGTCATTATTGTATCCCCTAAAAGCAATGTAGGATGCACATTATAAATAACGGTGGCTTAAAATTAGATTGTTCAGAATATTTCGTGACACTTACAACAAACATGTCAATGCAGGCTAATTTACCTCTACCAAAATACAATTGTCCGTAACACCATCTGTATCAGTTTATGGCATTCCATCTTTGCATTTTTAAACTCATCTGCTTCAGCCTTAGTCCCCAAGTAGTTTCTTCATTTCTTTTCTCTTTTAACTAGAGGGATAAGTACAGCTTGAGGTTATAAGTGGGATCATAACTTATAAGGGAGCCTTCACGCCAGTCGCCAGTAGGCTACAAGGCGATTGGCAGCTTCCTCATTTCCTTTTCCAAACAACAACCTTGGTCTTCAATCATCTTTACTCTCCACTCCCTGTACTCTAATCACTATTTATCCGAGCGTCACTCAGAAGAACCCAGGTTATTAGTTTGAACCTAGGACAAATATAAGACGTATTACATTGCGTTGACACCGACTTTTTCCCAGGTTAATAGTTTGAACCTTCGCTCTAGTTTATGGACCTTTTTTTTTTTTGGCTAAAGCATGGGTATGCTCTTATTGGAGGCAATCCTATTCGAGATACTGTCGGGTACTAAATGTAGACACCTCTTTCAGTGGGAATTCAAACCTTAGTTCGTCACATTGTAATGGACTAGCCCGCTAAACCCAACCTCTGTTGGTTTATTTTATGGACCTGTTTAAAAGAAAAATTAACACCCTCAGGTCAGCCTGGGCTATCTACTCGGCCCAATCCGGACATAAGGTTGGACCCAATCCTGTCTAGTTCCTTTTTGGGCTTTTTCCCTCTTTGGGTTAGACTGGGCTTTGTCAAGCCAGACCGGGTTTCCCAATCCAGGATTATTAGGTTCACAGGGTCATTTATAGTGCAATAATTTGTATGTCATTGTGAAGAGATCCTAGCTTTATATCTATGATGAATAAATTAGCAAAATTTAACGTTATGGAACGAAATGGGTATTAATAAAAAGAAGTTTTCAAGATGTATTCGGATAAAATCTGATAGCAAAAAGAATTGTTCAGATAGCTCATTGGTGTGTTTAGCATAGAACTGAATTGAGGCCTATGACGAGCATTGTGATGAAAATGTTAAGAGTTCAGTGGAAATCCCAGAACCTGTGAATCCCATTCAGTACTTGATGGATGGCAGGTAACTTGTTTCAGACAACACAGACTGATACTAGTATTGGTTTTGGCTCTTCTGTATCATGAGTAAGTGTGACATTCAAATAGCCACCAGCCAAGATTAACACGAAATATCTTCTGTTTAGATGGGAGCATCCATATTCAGTGTATATGTTTCGGAATATCTTATTTTCTATGATTAGAAACAATGTTAGATCTATTCTGTTCTTAGATGTAACATTTTATTTGTTTATCCATGGAAAGTTCTGCTTCTTTTATCTGCACATCCTGAAAGTTCCATGCCACTTATAAGTGTAAATCTCTGAAGAGACTAAGAAGCGGGTCGCTTATAAGGGTAATTCCAGAAACCATATGTAAGAGGATGATTCAAGCAAAACTTCAGTGTTCAGCTTGTTGCTCATAGTTTTCAACATTCACCATAGTTGCTAACCAGTCAACTGCATAACATCTTAGGCATGTGGGTCCTCTTATTTCTCCAGTGGACGCGGCACATTCGGCTGACATTAGTTGGATAACTTTATGGTGACTTCGATACTAATAAAAGTTGCAGTCCCGGGGGGGGGGGACTTTTGGAGTCTGTCATTAGATGTTTTAAATAAAACTAAATAAATCGGAACGTGTATTGCGAGGATTTCATAAAATAAGATTAATAGTGCCACTTGGTATGGATTTTATATCACACATTGAATAGATTATTAATATGTGTAGTACAAAATTTTGCTTCAGAAAGTTATTATGTGATACTGAAAGATTATTGGGGGGCTGTATTACCGGTTTTCACCAAGCAAACAGGGCATTAACACCAAAATTTCGGGAAGTTATTAGATTCGACCTCAACTCGAAGCCTATAATTCCTATAACAAAATAAAAAAAAAGAACTTGATTCTTCTTTTCAAGATTACCGACCTAATATGGTAAAATAAAATTGTACCTCTCTGGAGCGCAAAAAATGATTCTTCAATCAAAGAAATATCCTGCGAGTCAACACTGTAAAAGGGGTTGCTTAGGAGAGTAACAGATATGAAGAAGCATAGCAAACAAGAATTTGGCTTCATCTTATGCAAAATTTACAAAGCAGAGTCATACTAAATGACAAAAGTAAAAGAATTTTCAATTTTACACAATGTGACATACATCTATGCAGATTTTTCTATATGGAATATCTTGTTGGCTGGTTTAGAATTAGATTGTTCAGAAGATTCTGTCACCCATGAAGTAGAAGCATCTAAGCCTTCATTGGTTCCCTGCGAAGTCAGTGGTGGCAAACAAGACACCAAATTCTGAAAGGGAAATGGTGGTGGACGGACTTCTATGTCACCCTCTAACATCTTTACCACGTTACTCATAAGAGGTCTATCAGTAGGCAAATATTGAACACACCAAAGGGCCACCATTAACATTCTCTTTGCTTTTTCCCGGTCTCTCTCTTCAATTCCACACAGTGAAAGCATCACTGGTAATTCATTGTTCTCAAACATATCCCATGTCCATTTCGGAAGCCATTGCTGTGATTCACTGCAGCCACTATCAAAATGCCTTCTCCTCCCCACAATCTCAAAGAGAATAATACCAAAACTATAAACATCACACTTGTAATTCACAGGAGAACACTTCCACAATTCTGGTGCAGCATATCCTCTTGTTCCTCTGAAGTGTGTCATATTGACATGGCTGCTTTCTCTGCTGCAAAGTTTTGCAAGACCAAAATCGGCTACTTTTGGTTCCAAGTTCAAGCCAAGAAGTATGTTCTCTGGTTTAATATCATAATGAATGATCCTATGTTGACACTCTTCATGTAAGTAAGCAATTCCTTTTGCGGTTCCAATGGCAATCTCATGAAGCTTCCCAAACTCAACTTCTCTGTTCAGACTGCCAAATAATAAATTGTTGAGAGACCCATTTTGCACATACTCATATACAAGAGCTCTCTTTTCACGGTGGAAGCAAAAGCCATAGAGCGTAACTAAATTGATATGGTAAGTTCTTCCTATGGTGCTAACTTCTGCCCTGAATTGCTCTTCTGTACCAAGATCCAAACTGTTGAGAACTTTCACCGCAACTTGCTGTCCATTTGACAATTCACCTTCATAAACCACCCCAAAAGCACCTGACCCCAAAACAGTGGTGTAGTTCTTTGTGATTTCTTCAAGTTCCTCAGGTGAGAATCTGATGGGTTTCTCTTGGTTGATGTTGTCGAGGAATCTTTCCATAGTTGCAAACTCCACTTGTGAATCTGGTGGCATTGCTAATGCAATTTCTTTGTTGTTTGAAGGAGGTGAATTTGAAGCTTTATGGTCATTATCTGTATTTGGAATCTGGGTGTAAGCTGGAATCACTGATCCTGCTTTCTTCAAGCACTGAACAATGGCGTATACTACTGCTATAATGGCCATTATCACCACCAACAGATAAACTGAAAATCAAAATGGAACAGTATACCTGTAAATTTTCTCATGTAAAACAGAAGATCAAAGCAACTAAAAGAATCATTATTTCAACTAAGATCATTTTTTGTTATAATTTCCATCAGGTTTGAGCTTTGAAGCAATAACTGTCTGCCTCAGATAGTAAGAAATGAAATTAACAATAAACATAACAGAGACGTTCGGCACAGTGCATTAAAAAGTCAAATAGCAGGCATGAATGAAGATCAATAGTTTCATACCAATAGACCCAGCCACTGCCCATTTCATCGTAGAATTAAAGTTGTCATCGAATTTATCGAACGAAGTTTGGGCTTGTGTCTGAAAACCATCGTATGAACTATGAAAAGACGGTGGAGAAAACACAAAACTCATCTCTGTTGTCAAAACTCGAATAGATTTCAGAGTGAAGAGAAATAATGATCGAAAAGAGCAAGCCCATAGAAAAAGAGTTGTATGACCTATGAAATATGAAAGCGCGAGGAAGGGGGGAGATTAGAATCGTCAACAAGCAAATAGTTGACTTTGCCCATAATGTGTCCCATAACGCGTTTGAACGAAATTTCCTCATGATCTTCGTTTCTGAAAAACTCAATATGAGAATGACATGTAAGCAAAGTTAGATGCAGCTACGAGGGTGTTATTTTCTGCCAAGCGTTCCCACTTCTGAATGAGCTTTGCTTATGTTTACTTGACAGTGACGTATTCTGATTTCTGAATGTCTCCACCATTGAAGTGAAATCTTTGACCAAGTCCTCGATTCCATCGGACGAAACTTGTGTTTAAAATTTTTTCTTCCCCAAGGATTCAACGAAACTGGTTTTTGAAACTAACTCAACTGTTTCATATATATATATATATATATAATGATGTCATTTGATACACTTTTATAATGGTTATCTTGAAGAAGATTATATGATTTTTTATACTTTTATTATCTGGTTCAGTTGTATATAGAATTTATTTGAAATATTGTTTATGATGACTTTCCAGTTCTATTTTTCAAGTGAGACCGCGTCTTGGTTGAACCAACACAAAATGTCATAACTTTTTATGCTCAAAACTGGGACAACAAAACCAAATATAAAACTACTACAAAACCTGAAAAAGTTCCATACATGGCTAAATAAATAAAGTGTCAGAGAATGTTTAAATTTATCCAAATATTCCTATATCTAAATTACTATTGACTTTGTTAAAACAATTGTAGCAAATTAGGCATGATTTGTCATGTTTTTGAAACTACGGCTGTAAAATTAGATTAAAAAAAAAACTACAATCATAAAATTCACAAATTCCTATATTTAAATAAGTATTAACTTTATTAAAATAATTTCAAACAAACAAATCACCCATGATTTTTCATGTTCTGAACTATGGCTGCAAAATCATGTACAAAACTAAAATCATAAAATCCACAAATTATTATATCTGAATCACTACTGATTTTGCCAAAGCAATTGCCAAACAAAACAAATCACCCATGACTTTTCATGTTTAAAATTACGAATGCAAAGCCAGATATGAAACTACAACCATAAAATCCATAGATTCTTACATCTAAACTACTATTGATTTATTTAAAATAACTGTCTAACACAGCAAACCACCCATGGTTTCTCATATTTAAAACTATGGTTGTAAAACTAGTCCAACCATAAAATTCACAAATTCTTATATCTAAACCACTACTAACTTATTTAAAATAAATATCTAACCCAACAAACCACCGATTGTTTCTCATATTTAAGACAATGGCTGTGAAACCAATAAAACTATAAAATTCACAACTTTTTATATCTAAACCACTACTGACTTATTTAAAACAACTGTCCTGGTTTCTCTTATTTAAAGTTATGACTGCAAAACCAAGTACAAAACCAGAAATAGAGTGTTGTCCAGTACTATATATAAAGAGGTAGTAATTTCAACCATTTGACATACCTATAGTGGAGGGTTATCGATATCCTTCTCCTTCTCTGAATCCTTGTCCCAGTGCATATATGGCTGCCTCAAGACCCACATGCAAAAAGGAAGCTGAATTCTTTTCAACCTCTTGTTCTTATGGTGTCAATTTAAAGAATCAAGTTCATCTATAAGAGAAAACTAGAAACTTCTCCCCATGCGATGCATGGATTGGTTTATCCAGTTAGATGTTATATTCTAATTCTAATTATATTAATAATTTTAATAGTTTTGCTTGTTAATGAGGACCAAATATCATGCACAAATTAAAAATATATATATTAATTTGGCATAAGAATAAATGTATGTTAAGGTAAATGACTTTTAATTCAATGTATGAAAAAATGCAATCAATGCATAATATTATAATGTACAAAGTAATATTGTATTAATAAAGGTTTTATAAGAAAAAATATCATGACAGGAAAAATATTTGTTAGCATGATTGAATAGGTAATTGGACGGAATAATAACATTCGGGGCTGCATTTGTATGTAACTTAGCCTTGATTTTTTTCTTCTTTATGTTACTGTGTAACTGATAACATTATATTTAATTGAAAGGTAAAAACACCTCACTTTTATTAATTTTTGAAAATATTACGCACACGAAATCATCAAAAGGTAAAACAAACAGGTTACATACCACATATATATTCAGAGTTAGCACGTCGCAACTCTCACGTCTGCACTTCCATCTTCAGTCATCAAATTGAAGAGAAATTCTCAAGTTATCTCAATAGCTATTGGTACTTCAACAAAACCCTGCAGCCACAAAACCCGATACTTGCACTACCTTTGAGTTCAGTGAATGATTTGGATTGACACATACTTGGGGAGGTCTCTTCCACAAAAACATCTCTATATATCTAGCTTTTAAAGGGAGAAGAACAACTTGTAGTTTGTAATCTGGGCTTTGCCTGTTCACCAACAACAAAAAAGGAGAAGAACTTGAAACACCACAAGATAAATAGAGATTGGATTAGATTTGCAAACAAAATTAGGAATGTTGAGGTACAAGGGATTAATTTTATATTTATATTTAAGAAAGATTAACAGCCAAAGATTAACAATCATTCTAGATTTAACGCAAAGAAAGGAATGATAAAATGAGCAAAGAGAAATGAAGTTAGAAAATGATTCTTTTTTTTTTTCTGCCAGAAAAGAAAATGATTCAACAATATCAATCAATTATGCAGTCAGAAAATGTAATTATTTCTACCATAAATGATCCAATCACTTTTAAGCACAGTACCAATGAATATGATATATACCTTTTCTAGAGCGTAGTACTAGTGCCATGTGAAATGAAGAATCCCAATCCCCCCTCCCAAGTTAAGGTTGATACTTGGCGAGCTAACATTTGATAAGCCGTTTTAATTTCCTTGCTAGTGGGGAATTTAGAAACTCCAAGAGCAGCATAATAGTCGTCAGAAGAAGACAACTACTATTCACAGGTGAATAATACAAGACAATAAAGTTGCTTCACCTCATAACAGGGACGGCTCCAATTGAGCGATGAAGCAAATGAAGACCGGCTGCATATTGGAGAGGCTCCATGATTATTCTAAGGCAGCCATTTAATCATATTGATTCAGAAACATAATTGTATTGAAAAGGAAAAGATGCGGTAATCAATGCAAAAGGGGAGTCCTTTTGAATGGATACATTGAAGACTTGGGAAACGGAACATGACAAAGGATGATTATTAGTAAGGTGAAAAGAAAAGGACATGGTAATCAATGCAAAAAGGGAGTCATTTTGAACAGATATACTAAAGAATTGGGAAACGAAACATGATAAAGGATGGTTATCAGTAACGAATTTATTAGCAACTAAACCCACACCGACCCGTTTTAACTTTCCGAACCGACTGATTTTAACTCAAACGGGTATTACAAGATTTTAGAAAGAAAGTAGATAGATTGGCTGCGACCTCTGTTTGAAGAATGACAAAAGTTCAAACATTTGGGATCGCAACACAAACCCATGAATGTCTTCTTCAACAAAGAGGGGAGATGTGGAGGGTATAACGATAGCCAGGTTTGCTTCACAAGTTTGGCAAAGCTTGCTCAATTCTACATCTTGAGCTTGCCATGGTTTAAGTTATAGTGATGATATTAGAGCACATACAGAAATTAAATTAGTTTGAGAGATTTAAGGAAGGAGATCCAATTTTTCAGAATATTAATAAAATTTCCATATAAAATATATTTCACTTTGGTGTTGAGAATACATTGTATCTCAATACCAATCTGAAATTAATTTATATGGAAATTTTATTAATATTTGGAAATTTTGGGATCTTTCTTCCCCATATCTCTCAAACTAATCCAATTTATATATGTGCTCTAGTATCATCACTACAACTACAACCATGGCAAGCTCAAAAGATGTAGAATTGAGCAAGCTTTGCCAAACTTGTAAAGCAAACATGGCTATCGTCATGCCTTCCACACCCCCCTCTTTGTTGAAGAAGACATTCATGGTTTTCTGCTGCGATCCCAAATGTCTGAACTTTTATGATCCTTCAAATAGAGGTCGCAGCCAATCTTCTCTTATAGATGAACTTGATTCTTCAAATCGACACCATAAGAACAAGATGTTGAAAAGAATTCGGCTTGCTCTTCGCATGTGGGTCTTGAGGCGGCCATATATGCAATGGGACAAGGAATCTGAGAAGGAGAAGGATATGGATAACCTTCCATTAGGTATATCACATGAGCTTGCTTCTATAGCATCTTCATGTCTTCTCTCACGTACTATAATGCTGCAAACGGTTGGAAGGATATTGTGACTATAGAGTATGAAATATTGGCTTATGGCTTCAAGTTTACAAGAAGTACCTATCTATATATATGTGTGTGGTATTGAACAGTACTCTTTTTGGTTTTATAGCCATCGTAGTGTTGTACCTGGTTTTTCAGCCATAGTTTTAAATATGAGAAACCATAAATAGTTTGTTGTATTGGATAGTTGTTTTAAATAAATCAGTAGTGGTTTACATATAAAAATCTATGAATTTTATGGTTGTAGTTTTGTACATGGTTTTCTAGCAGCAATTTTGTGGCCATAGTGTTGTACCTGGTTTCACAACCGTAGTTTTAAATATGAGAAACCATAAATGGCTTGTTGTGTTGGACAGTTGTTTTAAATAAATCAGTAGTAGTTCAGATATAAAAATCTATGGATTTTATGATTGTAATTTTGTACTGGATTTTGCAGCTACAATTTCATGGCTGGAGTTTTGCATCAGGTTTTGCAACAGTAGTTTTAAATTTGGAAACCATGTGTGATTTGTTGTGTTGGACACATGTATTAAATAAGTCATAGTGGTTAAGACATAAAAATCTGTGGCTTTTATGGTTATAGTTTTATACGCGGTTTTATAGTCACAATTTTATGACTGTAATTTTGTATCTGGTTTTACAGCTGTAGTTTTAAACATGAGAAATCATAGGTGGTTTGTTATGTCGGATAGTTGTTTTAAATAAGTCAATAGCAGTCTAGATATAAAAATCTATGGATTTTATGATTGTAGTTTTGTACCTGTTTTTGCGGCCACAATTTTGTGGCTATAGTTTTGTATGTGGTTTTGCACCCTAATTTTAAATATGAGAAATCATAAGTAGTTTGTTGTGTTGGACAGTTATTTTAAATAAGTCATAGTGGTTTATAGTGTTGGACAATTGTTTTAAATAAATCATAATAATTTAAATATAAAAATATGTGAATTTTATGATCGTAGTTTTATACCTGGTTTTGCAGCGGCAAATTTATGACTGTAGTTTTGTGCCTGATTTTTCAGTTTTGCTGCTATAGTTCTAAGTGAAAATTTATGAGTGAGTTACTGTGTTCAACAGTTGTTTTAATAAAATCAATAGTAGTTTTTATATGAGAATTTGTGGATGTTGGTTTTATACAAATGAAACCAATTTGTCATGATGAACAGTTTTTTTATTGCTCAAAAAGCTAAACATTGAAACTAGCCAGCTTCTTTTATTCGATTTACGCGCGCTAACATTTAATATAGATACATGAATTTAGTCAAATACCCACGTCTCATAATTAGTAGTTATAATTATATCTTCTTTTTTTTTGTTTTGCATTATTCATGTATAATTTATCTGGTAGCTAGCCTTTAATTTAGACCATATCTCTTATAGTCCTATATCATATATATAGCCATAAATTCATTAATTATTTATTATATTTTTTTTATATCAGTCATCAAATATTCAAATGCCTAATAGGGATAAATTACAATGTAACATATAAAAAGCTACAAAAGCTACGTCAGATTTTAATCGTGTTAAAGAACATTGTATACTATCTTTTTTAGGAACAAGAACGTTATATTATCTCTATCATAAATATCAATATATTCTAAAATAAAAATTATAAATTCTATCATAAATTTTTCAAAATAATATATAAATAAATAAATAGGGGAAGTATTATTCTAAAATAAAAATTATAAATTCTATCATAAATTTTTCAAAATAATCTATAAATAAATAAATAGGGGGAGTATTATTTTTGTTAAAAAAATTATTGTATAGGAATGTCATTTCAATAATCTACAAAACAATGGATGAGGCTTTAGCAACATCCTTAACTTCCAATACAAATGAGTGGAGGCCCAATCCAAAAAACAAAAGCCCTCCAAAGACTTCTTTTTTTTTTTTGGTTGCCAACCCTCCAACTATATATGGGAACCCAAGGCTTAGCTGATTCATCTATTTATGTTTAAACTGGATGCTGAATAACATTTCCTAAAAAGTGACATTGTAAAGTATTTATAATTTGAACTATGGCTACAAAACCATGCACAAAACTAGAACCATAAAATTCATAAATTATTATATGTGAATCACTATCGATTTTGCTAAAATAATTGCCAAACAAAACAAACCACCCATGGTTTCTCATGTTTAAAATTACGACTGCAAAATCAGGTACGAAACTCGACCATAAAATCCATAAATTCTTATATCTAAACCACTATTGATTTATTTAAAATAATTATCCAACATAACAACCCGCCTATGGTTTTTCATATTTAAAACTATGGCTGTAAAACCAATACAACCATAAAATTCACAAATTCTTATATTTAAACCACTACTATCTTATTTAAAATAACTAACACAGCAAACCACTCATGGTTTCTCATATTTAAAACTATGGCTATAAAACCGGTACAACCATAAAAGTCACAAATTTCTATATCTAAATCACTACTAACTTATTTAAAACAACTGTCCAAACATGATTTCTTATGTTTAAAATTATGACTACAAAACAAAGTACAAAACTACACTGGCTGCAAAACCAAAAATAGAGTGTTGTCCAATACTATATATAAAGAGGTATTTCTTGTAAGCTTGGAGTCACAAACCATTCGACCTACCTAATGGAAGGTTATTGATGTCCTTCTCCTCGTCAGAATCCATGTCCTAATGCATATATGGCTGCCTCAAGACCCACATGTGAAGAGGAAGCTGAATTCTTTTAATCTCAAACTAATCCAATTTACACATGTGCTCCAGTATCATCACTACAGCTACAACCATGGCAAGCTCAAAAGATGTAGAATTGAGCAAGCTTTGCCAAACTTGTGAAGCAAACACGGCTATCGTCATGCCCTCCACATCTTGCCTCTTTGTTGAAGAAGACATTCATGGGTTCGTGCTGCTATCCCAAATGTCTGAACTTTTGTGATTCTTCAAATAGAGGTTGCAGCCAATCTTCTCTTATAGATGAACTTGATTCTTCAAATTGACTCCATAAGAACAAGAGGTTGAAAAGAATTCAGCTTCCCTTCGCATGTGGGTCGAGGCGGCCATATATGCACTCGGACAAGCGATCTGAAAAGGAGAAGGATATGGATAACCTTCCATTAGGGATATCAAATGTGCTTGCTTCTATAGCATCTTCATTTTTTCTCTCACGTACAATAATAATGCTACAAATGGTTGGAAGGATATTGTGACTATGGAGTATGAAGTATTGGTTTATGGCTTCAAGTTTACAGGAAGTACCTCTTTGTGTGTGTGTGAATATATAGTATCCCACAATACTTTGTTTTTGGTTTGTAGCCACCATAGTTTTGTACTTGGTTTTTCAGCCATAGTTTTAAATATGAGAAACCATGGTTAGTTTGTTATGTTGGATAGTTGTTTTAAATTAATCAATAGTGGTTTATATATAAAAATTTGTGAATTTTATGGTTGTAGTTTTGTACATTA